CAATAAACTACATATTGTCAGTATTTTTGTAATACTTGTTTCATTGTGTCTTTATCATATTTTTTATTTTTATTTTTTCCCTGTAAGTGAAAACATACTTGGCAATAAAGCATACTCTGATTCTATATCTTCTTGCTACCATTGTTACATTTGAAGGACTCTACATTGTCATGTGGAGAAATCTTAATTTAAAATGAAAGAAATCCGATCCCTTTCATCACCTTGTGAGATTTGTCTTTGGACCCCTTAGGGGGGGGGGGGGGGGGTTCTCTGAAGATGTAAGTAAGTGTCTCTGAAGCGTGTTATGGATATCTGTAGGTCAAGGAGGAGCTAATGTGCGCACTTCTTAAATCTCAACAAAGCGTCACATGGACCTGAGGGTCGAACAAGGTGATAGGTTGAACCAGCTCCTATGGAAGCATGCAAAGACTCACTATCTGTACAGGTTGAAAAGAAACAGCCACACAAACACCTCCTGACAACATTGTGTCCTCCTGGATCTGGATCTCATGTTGCAGCTTTAAAAACAGGCTATCATCGTTTGTAAATGCTGTCCCAAAGACTATATACAGTACATGAAAGGAGCATTAAAGACTGTCTTCCCCAAAAAAAAACAAAAAAAAGATTTGCTTATCCCAAATGTCTAAGTCAGTCGGCCACTCAAAGCTCTGTAAATCACAACTCTTAGATTGTCAGGAGAAAGAAATCCTGAAATTTTAAATCCTGAAAATGCAGAAGGACGGAGGTCAGGATGCTTAGGTCAACTATAAGTGGTTTGACTTTGACGTGAGAGAATATGATCTTTCTCTTACCACACACAAGTAGCTTTTGTGCTCAAACAGAACCAATCTTAAACCTAACCACAGCAGTTATAAATCAGGAGAAGGAGATAGGAATCCTTGTATAGATCATTTCCTGTTTCCTGCTTCATTTGAGAATGCACTAGTAAACAATATCGTCCTGTCATGGAAGGGTCAGATCAGAAAACAATTGTATCTTTTGGAAGTGAAAACAAATGACATAGTTAGGGACATTTGAAGACCAAATTCACTTCTTGATGTGGTTTATTCCTAAATGAAAAACCACCATTTACATCATATCAACATTAACTGCGTTTATAATGTTTCAAGCATTTGACATGCGTCTCAAGTCATATATCCATTACTACATTTATCCATCAACAGCTATATTACCATGAGCTGCTTCTCACTCTTTACATTCAAAGCCCCATTTGACCTTTCATTTGCCCTCCATAAGTGCTTTTACCTCTTTCTTGTTTCACTTTAGCTCCCTCTCTTTGTTTCCCTGTGTGTATTTACCCCCTCCTTGTGTTTTCTCTCCTCCTCCCTCCTGCTCGGTACCTCTGTCACTTTTTTGTTTACAAACCCTTTCATCTGGATATGGCTTTATATGTAAAAAACCCTTCTATTTGAATGTGGTTTTATTTAAAACCCTGTCATTTGAAGAGCTCTTTAAAGGCAGAGGAATGAAAAGTCAACAAGGACCCTTCAATTGTGTTTCCTGACAGGACTCTCACACACACACACACACACACACACACACACACACACACACACACACACACACACACACACACACATGCTCGCACACCGCCTGCCTGTCTACATGCATCCGAGTCTATTATTATGTTAATGAGTCTCCAGTCTCCACATGTCCCCACACAATCTAACACACACACACACACGCACGCACGCACACGTGCACGCACGCACGCACGCACGCACGCACGCACGCACACATGCACACACACACACACACACACATACACACACACGCACACACACACACACAGACAGATTACGCTGAGCTCAGCAGTATAGCAGGCTAGCAGAAAAAATAACGAGTGGACAATTTCACCATCATAGAAATAGAGCAGGTAGAATTGGTATTTGCTGGTGTGTCAGAAAGACAATCAGTGAGAGAATCACACTAAACCCACCTGACAGATACCTTTCAATCTATGCCTGGTTGCTCTTTCTGCATTTGTCTCTTTCAGTGCAGTCAAAAAATATATACATTTTATAAATTGAACTCTAAGGGTAATTTTCTCTCATCAAGTTTTCAGGAAAGACATCACAGATTTAAAAAAACATAGATGTTTCGTTGACGAGTAAAGGTGTTGAGACTAGATAATAATCCATTTCTTATAGCTTTTCCTTTGTAAATAGACAGTGCAGAGGGTCTAATCAGATGCATTTATATTGAAACCGTAGACTTTGAAGTTCTTTGGCTGCCCTCTTCTTGTTTTTCAACTCTCCCCTTGAAACTCAGTCATTTTAAACATGCACGCAAATATTTATTTTTAGGACAATTTGGGAAAACAAGTTGCAGAAACCTATTATATATTAGTGGTTTAAGTGAAAATAAGTACCTTGTATGGGCATTGAGATAGCTGACTAGGTAGAACAGGCTTTGTATTCAAAACGATAACTCTCAAAGAGGGAATCATGGTATACAAATAGGGCTGGTTCAATGAGAAGAATCGAAAGTCCAACAGGAATGTGGTGTATTGCTCCCATTTAGCAGACTCCCTTGACTTAAGGAGGCTTTTAAGATTCTCAGACTTCAAGATCAAACACATACTGTTGGTGTCTGTATCTAATATTATACGGTCCTCTGAGACAAGACAAGAAACTCCTTCAATACATAAATAAAGAAGCAATACGTGACGAGCCAAGAGACAGGGAGTCCAGACTGATAAGTTAAAAAGCAATGCACTTAACAAAACACGTACACAAACACACACACACACACACACACACACACACACACACACACTCACACACACACACACACACACACACACACACACACACACACACACACACACACACACACACCACACACACACACACACACACACACACACACACACACACACACACACACACACACACACACACACACACACACACACACACACACACACACAGCTTGCTTAAACATTTATCAATGAAGTACAAAAATAGGTTAACTCCAAGGACCTCACTGAAAGGAACTTACATAAACATACACGTCACGGCATTACATCACACACCATCATCATGCCCGCCTGAATGTGTATGAATGGGGGTAGGGTTTTGCACGAGTGTGTGTGTGTATGTGTGTGTGTGTGTCACTGTCTACTGGCTGGAGGGAGAAGTCTGTTTCTTTAAGTGACACCACAACAGTGCATCATCGCTCTGCAGCATGCCTCTTTTCTCTGAACATTGTGTAACACAAAGTCCTACATGAGACTCTGACATTGTCTCCCTCTCTCTCCTTCTCTGCAAGACCATTCAGTAAAAACAGCTACACCTCAGTTACATTAACTAAACTCATTGGCTAATGCTGAGTCTGGATTTAAGTAGAGAACATCTGATTGGCCCAGGGGGGAAGCTCGTTTGCATAAAGGGAACTCAATTGGTCGACTGCAGTGTAAAAGCATTGACCTGTGTTCAGTACCACAAGAAGTTGGGTTTTAGGTTGATTTGATGGTTCTCAGCCCATGGATGGCTAAAATCATGAGGCAGTAGGGTGCCGTTTTTTATGTAAACCAACAGTTTTATTCCCGGGGTCTGATTATGGTTACAGTTAAACATGTTATGATTTAACCACATTTTAATGAAGCTAGTAAATGTGTAAAAGTGCAAATATAGCTTGTATTTTTGGCTTTAAAACCTAAAAGGATGCTTCTGTCAAAAAATCCCCAAATGATGTATTTTTTTCTTACTTCAGTTTGTAAAGGATTTTCATCAAAACCTGTCTGCTAGTGGACTGACTCATGAGCTGTAAGAAATGAGGATTACCAATTTTGCTGACTTTTTCTTAAACGTTTTTGAAGTAGCAGATTATAGTGCATTGTTTACCACTGCACCCTTTCTACCAGGAACTGTTAGAAGCAACAAAAACAACAACATATTGACATGGAATTTCATTGCCACGAAAAAAACAAGTGAGCGTGCACTTGAAACCACACCATTAAATCCCTCCCAGGCCATCTCCGCGCGCCGCTGCTGGTCCCACAAGATGCTCTTTTTCTTTTTTCTTCCTCTGATGAATAAAATTAAGCACTTCCATCTCTCTTGCTCTCTCTCTCTCTCCTTCTCTCTATCACCCCCCCCCCCTCTCTCTCTCTCTCTCTCTCTCTCTCTCGCTCCCTATAAAACTGCAACAGCTGATCTCGTGCACCAGAAAGAGCCGCAGCTCCGCACGCGCCAAGTAGAGGGAAGAGAGACAGAGGAGAAGAGGAGAGAGGGAAAGAGAGATTTAGAGAAGAGGTCTTCCAACTGCAGTATTAAAACACATTTTAGAGCAATAATTTGGAGGAACTGCAATGACATTTGGCTCATTTTGTACACTGAGAAGTCGAGACGTTTTGTGGACTGAACGTTTGTCTTTTTAAACATCTTTAACCTTCGTTTATCGCCTACCGTAATTCTATAACTCACACAAATCCAGATTGATCTGACTCACCTGCTCGGGAGCTTCCAGCGGATTGTGTTTCGCTTCTTGCCGAGCTGATTCAAACCTCCGGAAACTTCTTATTCTTTCTTTTCTGTCTCCGGTGCTGAACGGACAGTGGTGTGGCACGAGGAAGAAACAGGAGTCTCGCGCGGAAGGGGAGCTGTCCGGTGCTGAAAGCACGAGACCGACCAGGAGCCGGCGAAGAACTGCTCTGAGAAACTGTCCAGTCTTTATATTTTGAAGAAACGGAATAAAATAATTAAAACAAGAAACAGGATAGCCACAACTGGAACTGATATACATATTTGTAACCTTTCAGAACTCTACAGGTCTTCCAGTGGAGAGCAAAACAGATTAGCAGCAACAAATCACAAGTAGACTTTAGGTATGCTAGAAAACACGAGGAGCAATTGGTTTGTGTGATCTTTAAAAGCCATGTCTCCTATCTTAATTGGAGGGACTGAACGCACCTTTAGTAGCTGAAACCAGTTTACGATTATTAAAACCAAGCAAATAAGAGTTTCAGATACAGGTTTTTGTGGAGTTTGAAGTGGAAGACAGAAGGAGGGTGTGTTTTTGTATTGCATAAGTGAAGGAGCAACTACTGTCCCATCATGCCTCGCTCTTTCTTGGTGAAGAAAATCAAATTGGACGATTTTTCGGCACAGCTGGAGAGCTCGTATAGTCACAGAAGAGAAGCCCTCAGTCTGCGATTCCATCATCATGACAAAGGTGAGTCACACACACGCACACGCACACGCACACACACGCACACGCACACGCACGCACGCACGCACACACGCACACACACACACACACACACACACACACACACACACACACACAGACACACACACACACACAGTATATGCTACATTATCCGGGGTATTTCTTCATCATGAGATTTAAAAGCATTAGTCATGAGTGTTTCTGAAGGGTGAGGGGAAAAGGAATTACAGGGTCAGACGGCGGTCGCTACCCAAGAGTGTACCAATTGAAAATGTCTTTTTCCTGCCAAGATTATTTCCATCAAACTTTATTATGTGGAGAAGAAGGTCAGAGAGATGGCAGGAAGTGAGAAATGAAAATATTCCACCTACTGAGAGTGAACAGCCACATGCTCAGAGATGTGAAAGAGACAAACATTGTTTAAGTAATATACTGTAATGTATTAAATGCACATTGAGTCTTTGAAGTATTCAGCTCAGAGGTCAAAGGAGAGATCAGGGGTTTCTCAACTGTTCCTCCTCAGGGTGGATTCTTGATGACTCAGTGGTTAAATAAAGCAAATCTTATAAAAAAGCAATATGTTCAGACTTATTATATAAAGATGACACACCTTTCCTTGAAAATTGAAAACATGTGTAAATTGGGCATAAAACATTTTTTATATTTTAGTGCTTTCCAATGTGAATTTTTTGGCAACTCCATTATTAATGCTGTACCAGCAGGGGCAACATCTTATAAAACTGCAAACAAAGCCTCATTAGTCTTTCAATTTAACTGTAACAATTGTACATTTGGGCTTTCCCACACTCTTATAAACTTAAAATGAATCTTGATGCAACGCACAAAAAGTACACCTGGGTTTTCATCTCATTAGTCTACACACATTACAGGGAACACATATGCAACAAAGCAGTTTTTGTGAGCCGCAAAGACCTTTCAATGCTGATACGCAACAGGCAGCAAGAGAGCAGATCTTTTTGAAAATGAATAATTATGTTTATACATTATATCACCATGCAGTTGGATTCTCTGTTGTTCTGTTGCCTAGTGTGTTATTTAAATCAGGGGTTTTACAGCTGCTGTAAGTCTCTTTGCAATATTTCAACAATATTGCAAAGCTTCATTGATTCCCATGCGTTCTATAATTCTGAATACACAAAATGTGTTATATTGTGATTTAACAGGAGCTTTGTGAAAGCAACATTTTTCATGTTAAAATGAAATAACATTTACCAAAGTATATCAAGTGACTAAGTGCAATGTAAAAATGAGTTGCTTGCAGTCTCAAATCCAGAGAGAAAGAGCGCCAAACTGTGCACATATACTGTATGGAGCATTTAGCCTTTTTAAATTCCTTTGTTGTTTTTCTTTCAACTGCAGCAGGCAGATGTTTTCTAAAAGTTAGCTCTGAAATAAAAACGTATAATAAGGCTATCTGGTGAGAAAAACAATGATATAGTGGAGACCAAATTAGAGCAAAAAAGGACAGTGAATATTGAACTTATTATTAGCTGGCTAATTAAACCATGGCTAAAGTTGAGTAATTGTGTTGCCTTGTGTCTGCTCAATGCGCACATAAATAATTGCTATGTCACCGGTTGGCCATTTCACCTTAATAAGCAAATAATGTGCCTGGTTTGTGTGTCTGTCAGCTTGTTTCTGCCCCCTAGTGGTGAGACATTCTTAAGTGCCACTTTAAAGTGGTGGGGGGAGAAATTGTGGCTGTCACCCAGCACAGGGAGAAGAATGCACAACCTAGTACAACCTGGTGGTTTTCACATTGTACCAAGGTCACCTGTGAGATGAAGAGATCCCAGGTGCTCCAAAGACAGAGTGAACAGAGAAACAGAGAAACATGCAGCAGCAGCAGCAGCAGGGTGACAAGCATGTAAAGACTGAGGCTGCTATGCCTTGTTATAAATATAACAGGAGTTTGACTGAAGCAACTGCAGCTTGTTGCACACACACACAAACACACACATGCACATACACACACTGCTGTGTTTCTGTCAACTAGGCACATTTCCCAGGCAGCTTGCACAGCTGAGTGCACAGCATTACACACATACACACACACACACACACACACACACACACACACACACACACACACACACACACGCACGCGCGCACTCATGCACACGCGCACTCACGCACGCACGCACACACGCACTCGCGCGCGCACTCACGCACGTGCGCGCACACACACACACACACACACACACACACACACACACACACACACACACACACACACACACACACACACACACACAGTGACCTACAAGTGTCCAAAGCGCACAAGTGTGTGTCAGTTACTGCTAGTTAAGATCAAAAATTAAATTGTAGCTTGCAGCTTCCCTCACTCTCTCTCTGTCACTCTCTCCCTCGCTCTCTCTCCATCTTTCTTCTCTCTTTCTAATTCTCTGTATTTCAAAGACACATAAAAGGAGGATGGCTTCGGCTGGCAGAGTATTTTAATCTTTAATAAGCATTTAGAACAGCTATCAGCTCTAAGTGCTTTGAAATGAATACAGAGTTGACACAGCGAGACGGAGACGGAGACAGTTGCAGAGAGACAAAGACAAACAAGCAGAGACAGTACCCAGACGGTGAGACGTTCAGCAATTACGGCTAGCAAAACACTTTCTAAAACGAGGGTACCGGGGAACGGTCATGTTTAATTGGCAGAGATCATAGACAAAGCTTCTGTGAGAGAAATGAGCTCCACATTCTGAGTTTGCATCTTCAAGAATATTGCATCCTAAACCAGGGTTTGTTTTGATTTGCTACCTGTCAGTCACATAGACTCAGTGTGATAGATAGATAGTCAGTCTGGTGCAATTACATTCACAGGAAAGTAAACAAACAGCGACAGAAGAGGTGACATGACACACACTGAATCCTGGAGGGGGATAACTTTGGATACAAGACATTTTTCACCAGAAGTGTACTGTTTTTTAGTCTGTCTTTCCATCCATACAACACACTGGTCTTAAGCATTATGTGGTGGCAAATGTTGGGAAGATATCAATGAAATTGGCAATAGACCACCACTGTCTGGACTTTTTTCCAAATATATGAAGATGACTCTTTTACTTAAGGCCTTTGCACAACAAGTACATAGGTTTTTGTATGCATTATATAAATAGGTCAGACGACACAGAAACCTTGCAAAAAACATTCATGAAGGACTCCAATAACGTTTTTGAGTAGGTGTTTAAACCTGACACAATATGCGCTTTTTATTTTTCAACGTGCAACAATTTCAGATAAAAAAAATACAGACTTTGTGTTCACCAATATGTTGTTCTCCTGTAAAGAGCAAATTATGTGAAGCTCTGCAAAAATTCCAAGACTGAAGCTGTTCTAAGTCAACCTAATATGGGTTAAATATGAACACTTGGTCATATTTCTAGGTTCCTCATGCTCTATAAAACAACATCCACGCACACAAACACAGTACTTTGTTCCAGAGTGCCATGATTGAATATTCATGATTTTTCTCTTTACAACCCTCCCTCTCTTGCCCCCCCCCCCCGTCATCTATTTCTTTCCTCTATTACTCCGTCTTAATTTAATTCAAAATGTTAAATCATCATGAGAGCTGTAAACAGATTGCCAAACCACCTAACCACCATAGCTGGCGTAACACCACTCTCACTTTGCCACAACTCATTTGTCCTGCCCCATTTCTTTCTTTCTTCTCCGCCATTCCTCATCTCACTCCACTTTCCTCTCTCCCCCTCTATCTATCCATCTTTTGTTCTCATCATATTATCGACCGACTTCTGAGCTTTTCTCAGAACTGCATCATGAAATTATATTACCAGCAATAGTATCTCCTCTGCTGCCTGTGTCTAAATGCTCACAGAGTGCTAATTGAAATGGAGAGCTATTGATCGACATAGATCCACAGGAGTCATGGCTGTGGGGGTATTACAGTAGCTGCCAGTCTCTCCTTGTGTCTGTCTGTTGGACTTCAGCCTGTTGAGTGTAGAAAAACCAATAATAGAAATACTGACGCAGCTCACATCATAACATGGCAACAAATAATTGATCAGTTTTGTCATAAATATTCATGTTGCTTAAGAATACAATACTCAAGGAGGCTGAAAGGTTATGGTCAATGCACAGTTATCAGTGTCACGGTGCCCTTGAGCAACGCACTAGACTCCCGGCTGCTGTAATAAAGACTGTGTTGAAAAGTCAACCTTTTGACAGCTCAGACGTGATTCTGTGCCGCCTTAGACCTGACAGGAAAGGTGCAGTTGTTGAGGAGAGTATGCTCGCTGAACACTTCAAGAAAAATAAAATAAAATTGTCCCACTGAGAAGAAGAGTTTCCTCCTTGCTGGCAAATACATACAAGCACTTTACTACCACTATAAATACCTCAACTTCTCCTGCTTCCTCCCATCTTCTCTGCTTTATAGAAAAGGGTTGTGCTTTAGATAAAACCCCTTACAGTGTGGGACGTGCATCTTAAGAACTGACTTGTGTCCCCTTGTGCTGACCTTGTCTTGTATGGATGCAAGTGTTAATGTGAAAACAAAAATCTAAAAGCACAATGCACATGTTGGTAATGTGACCTATAGGTGGTTCAGTTGATATTTAGAAACCAGAGACAGCCGGTTTTAATCACTTATAATATCAGGGAACAACATGTGAAGCAGCTCTCTGAATAATGAATGAACATTGAGTTTGATTTGTGGCTTTTGTTTGAACAATATAAGAAAAAGGTTTGTAAAGGTATACAGTGAGTATACGCTGGGGTTCTGTGGATGAAAGTCATTCACTCACAAGTATCCAAGATCCCTGTAAAGATATTTAAACACGCTGCACCTGTTTGGTTTTACAGGTTGTGTTTTGACATCCCAGCTCTATCAGGCCCTAAAGATACATCACACACAAACTGAGGCCATACAGTATAACATAAGTACTATCTTGTGCAGTGCAAGTGATTTCCAAACCTTGTGGGTTCAATATGAATCTGAAATAGTAACAATGTGTGAGCAACCTACATGTTTTCTTATTGAAAGCTTTGCTAAATTGTCAAAGGAAAGAAGAAACGATTCTTGGATTGCATTCACTTCCCTTTATAGTTTAGGTATCACTCTCGTAGCGATCATGTCGATTTTCTTTAAAGATTTTCCAACCAATCAGTTTCTAATTTCCAATCAGATGACTTACCTCTTTCTCTCTCTCTCTCTCTCTTCAGGCTACGTCAGCGACTACCTTAGTCCTTCCCCATATGATGTTATGGCCGGAAGTGAGTCACCTGTCATCACTAAAGTCGCCTCCCCTGTCCGCCCATCAATCATCTATAGCCACATCGAAGACACCTATTCTGGTATCCATGGTGATGTCCACGGCGACTCGGACCAGCCGGACAGCCCGCGATCTGAAGTTTCCTCATCAGCAGGTGAATACATCAACGGGGACGCGGCGGTGAGCGATGAGTACACAGTGGATGCGTTTTTCATCATGGACGGACGGTCACGGAGGAAGTCCACAGGAAACGCCAAAGGAGCCATCCAGAGGCACTCCTGCAACGAGTGCGGGAAGTCCTACGCCACGTCCTCCAACCTGAGCCGCCACAAGCAGACGCACCGGAGCATAGACAGCAAGATGGCCAAGAAGTGCCCCACATGTGGGAAAGTGTACGTGTCCATGCCAGCCATGGCCATGCACCTGCTGACCCATGACCTCAAGCACAAGTGTGACGTGTGCAGCAAAGCGTTCAGCCGGCCGTGGCTGCTGCAGGGTCACATGCGCTCGCACACGGGGGAGAAGCCCTTTGGGTGTGCACACTGTGGCAAAGCGTTCGCCGACCGGTCAAACCTGCGTGCTCACATGCAGACGCACTCGGCCTTCAAGCACTACAAGTGTAAACGCTGTGACAAGACGTTTGCACTCAAGAGTTACCTTAACAAGCACTACGAGTCGGCGTGCTTCAAGGGGGCTTTCTCCCCGATGAGCTCACTGAGTGAATGATTGGTTCCAAAAGGTTGACTTTTGTTTGTTTAAATCAGATTTAGCTGGCCTCACGCCCTACTTTGTATGCTTTGTCCAACAAGAGTCTTCTCTGCAAGGATCATGAGGCAAAAGAACAGATTGAGGACAAGTCCATTTTGATCAAAACCCTCCAATCCCTCCTTTGTCTCCTTTTTTGGAAGTGAGGTGAAAAGTTTGCGATACGTGATTCAGATCGCCACCTGCTTTGACGAGATACGTCCACTTTTGAGGCTGTTTTGAGTATACGCGTGGATAAATGAAGCACAGTACATCTAGCTCATCATTTTTGAAGATACCTAGATCTATTTATGTCCATATCTACCCTCGTGCCACTTCTTTTTTTCAACCCATGACGAATCAACACTGAAGCACAATTCCTCTCCCATCGCTGTCTTTCTGTGACAGGACTATCACGTATAGCATGAATCACATCTTCTTGCAAAGAGATTCAATAAACTTTACAATGTAATGGTTTTTAGAGACAAATAAAACAAAACATTCATAATCTAAGGATAAAGGTGTTATCCTGCTTTTGAAACTGACTTTGGACGGAACTCATAAGGAGATCAAGCATCTAAAAACAATGAAAGCACACTGCATTTGTTTTCTGCAAGTAAGCAAAAATACTTGTGAAGCTTTTAATTTACACTAGGGACATGCTTTGCCTACTGTTTACTGTGTTGGCCACTGACACATTTACACTGAACTGTGATCATTTACAAATCTTCCATACCATGGGACGGCAAGGTACACCTTTGGAGTGGGAAAACAATCTTTATGGTGATTTTCTTTAAACCAATGTCTTAAATGGACACAGATATACAACATATTTTTAAGTTATCTTTCTGGCATTTGTGCTTTACTTGACAGTAACCTGTGGAAAGTATAAGGGAATAGTTACTCAACAAACAGTGTTTTCCTACAACCTAAATATGATGTTATTTATTTTTACACGTCAATGTCAGATGAGGATCCAGACATTTAAAATGTCTTCATTTTCCCTCTAAAGGTTAAACCTTTTCTCAAGTGTTGTATAAAAGTGTTTTTGTTGCCAGAAGGCCACACAGTGCTCATCTTTAGGTATTTTTGAAGTGTCTATTTATTGCCTAATTTATTTATTTATGTTTTTGTAAAGGTATTGATTTGCACCTTACTTTGTTATATTTTGCCTTTGTTACAAATATGCCAAAGCATTTGACACTTTCTAATTACCGAATACCTTTTTACTTTTGTCCGCCACTTTAATTATAAAAACTACTGCATGCAAAAAATAACAATAGCCTAATAATGGAATCTATGCCAATTTTATGAATCTTTGGGATATTTTGCCAAACCTCTTAGATAACAGGCAAATTGAGCAAATTTCTGTCTTGGGCAATATTTCATTCATATCCGATAGAGCAATAATGCATGATATTTTTGAAGAGACGTGAGTCATAACTGCTTGTAACATCTTGATTTTTTCAAGTACCACTATTCTATGTAGTTATGAGAAAGGAAATTTCAGGGAGTTAGCAAACCAAGTTAGTGTTAAATATGGAGGGTTGGGTTAAGAGCTCTGTATGTGGAGGGAGTGTGACACTGTTGTGATTCTGAGAGGCTTCCCCCAGTGACTTCTCTAATGGTAAAGTGTTCAAACAGATCAAATTAGCAAGAGAGTAGGTTTACCAATCTCTGCTGATTAGTATGTAATATTATCTAAAACCATAATTCTATCTTGGCATCATTAGCTTGTTGACAATTATGTCTATGTAAGCATTAGGAGCTGTTGGTGCTTCCAGGGATTCACACAGATGACACGACTCCTTCAGTTGGAGGGCTCTGGGTTGGGTCGGGACGGGTCTTTTTGTACATGGTTTATGCACTGCCTGCCTCGTATTATTATTCTAAAAATATTGTAGAAAGTAGAAGGTAATACCATCGACCTCTGGTGCTGAAACATGGATGAAAACACAAACCCAGAACCAGAACGATTGAGAGCTTTGGTACTTTCTAAGTTCTTGGTTTGAGTAGTTGAATAGGTGAAACACAACTTTACAGCAGCTGTTGTGAGGTTGTTGTGGCAATCCCCAATGAAATTAAAGTGATTGTTGAGGAAGAAAAGAAGACATTTTGTCAATATTTCAGCACCAGAGTGCATCGACAAACACTTAGTCTACTTTGAACTACCGTAGCCTAATATAGCCACAAGCTAGTTTACCTATTCTTATATAAAAGCACTTCCTGTTACGAATTATATCTTACAACTTTTTTTTGTTCAAAGATAGTAGCACAATGAAAGAGTTTAGATTCAGGTAGACAATGCCTTGTATGTAGAAATAACAACCTCTTTCTCCTTTTTCTACACTGATGAATCAAAGGTATCAACAACAACAAAGATGCTGAAATGTCACACGCTGTGTTGTCCTTAAATGACACATGAAAATATGCTTAAAAGTGACACATGGTATAAATAAACTCCTTTATTACACATTGTGTCATTTTTTTACATATTTGTGGGAGAGCATCTTCACCACACCTTTTTTAAGAGTGAATGAAAACTTGACTGTGGCAAGAGGCCTTGTAAATAAGCACTGATGTGACTTTGGGGTCAAATAATTTCTACAGATCTGTATAGAGTGACAGTGATGCAGATGATGATGATGATAATGATGATGAGGATGATGATGATGAGGATGTTGAATTTCTCTGGAGCTTCCTTCTTTGTTTTGAGTTCTTCCTCTGAGGTTTTTTTGGACCTCCAGTGGCAGTTTTAAACAATGTAAAGCACAAAGACAACACTGGGCATTTTGTTTCACTTCCTAAATAAAAACTAGTTTAAAAAAGTTGTGTTGGGATTTTCTTCTTCTTCTTCATTGAACCTTTCACAAGTTTCACTATTTAAATGTATGCAATTATCAATGGTAAAAGTATTCAACTTGTAATATAGAGGCAAAGTCCCTCCCAAAAGCGCAATGGACGTCATAACTTCATCTCTTAGTGGTCTTACACATTTTTTCCCTTCCCTTCGGAAAGAAAAAGATTAGGAGTCACTGGATAAAACACATCAGTTAAGATAGCGTTACAGTTGTGTGGAACATAGCTAAGTTATCTAGCTTTCTAGCTAGCTAGCTAATACCCCGCTAGCTAGCTAGCATTGGCGGCGTATATTGTGCAAGACTGAATATCCTGAAAATGCAACTCTCTGTCATTATTTCTCTGATTTGATAAAGCTCCTCCATGCTCGGATAAGACATCATACAGCGGTTTTCACAGGCTTATCACAGCAGTACTCTTGAGTAAACTGACCTTTATGTGAAGAGTCAAAGGAACGGAAAAAAACATTTGAATATTTGTGCTAGTGGCTGTTATACAAAAGCCCTTCAAAATGATCTTTACTGCTTCTGGTAAGCTTACAAAAGAGCCTTTCAATGCAGCGCCTTCTAAAGTATTAATGAATCATTAGCATATTGATAAATCATCACGTTAATAAATAGCATGGGCAAACTGTGAACATTTGTTTTATTCCTCACTAAATGGTAATTGATGATTTGTAAAATATTCATTAAGATAATTTGCCTTCAGCACAAAAACTGTAAGTTATATACAGCGCTAGCTCACCTTCGTTTTTACCCTGTGGCGACTGTGCAGAGGTCAAAATCACCAAGTGACTGCGTGTGTGTGTGTGTGTGTGTGTGTGTGTGTGTGTGTGTGTGTGTGTGTGTGTGTGTGTGTGTGTGTGTGTGTGTGTGTGTGTGTGTGTGTGTGTGTGTGTGTGAATGATTTTAATTGCTTGTGTGAGCTATCATACATGAACAGGGAAGCTGATCTCAAGGATTGTCTTTAACCTTGCGAGACATTGTGTTACATGTATGTACTTATGTGTGGATGTGAATATTTGTTTTTTACATAAACATCCATGTTTTCGTTTTTATTTGGTTAAAAGGAATTAAGGTTGTAAATATGTAGACAAGAACCATTTTGGATACAATGTTTATAAAACCAAATGCAGTATGCTATTGTAATAAACTTAATGAGATGACTCCCAGTGACGATAGTAACGGCTGCTCTACTATTTGAATTGGCCAAACAATGATCTGTCTGAATTTACATGGTAATGAAAAACCTGTAAAACCATGTGAATTAAAGACAAACATTCTAAAAACCTTCCTCAATAAGCAATATGAGCAAAACAAGAGTGCTTTAATGTGCAGCTTGTGAACAAAAGCAATGTATGAGTATGAGCTACACAATGTCACAAGCTCCTGCCACCCTGTGTGCACAGATTGATTAAAGAGAACTTTCGATTTAATTAAGTGTGTGCATGTTTTATTGAAGTGCAAGTGTGGTTTGAATCAATCATATTGTATAAAATAAAAGAAGAACAGTAGGGCCCTTTCTCATTTCTCTAATTCCCCTCCTCGACTCCTATCCTCGTGTCTTAGTCCCGCCCACAGGAGATGCGAGCGGAGGAGTCGAGGAGAGGAACCGAGGAGAGAGGAGTGGAAGCAGCAGGCGGTTAGAGAAATGAGAACTCCTCTTCTCTGAGCGGTCATTTTAAAGAGACGTCCGTTAATGATGACAGGAGGCACAGCACTCTGGCTGATGGACAGAACTGTGTTCATGACCACTTATATATTTACTTTTAATTCATTCACAGTGCGGTATAATGAGACAATAAAAGGCTACAGATGTGGACATACACACACACACACACACACACACACACACACACACACACACACACACACACACACACACATATATATATATATTTATATAAATATATGCAATTTCAGATTCAAACAAGTATGAGAGTACTCTCATAATAACGTAACACTATCAGAGACTGGATATATCCCCCCCCCTCTCTGGTCGCTACAAAGAGGAAATGAAATTACGGGCCAAAAGTTGTATTTACAAGTATTAAAAGTAAGCATAGGACACCAAACCAACTGAGACCTGTCTGTCCCTACACACTGTACAACACGCACCTACAG